CTATTGGAAAAGCAATAAACACAATACTATAACACTATCACAACACTACAAAATTTCGTATGGAAATATTAAAATGCATTGTCTCTGAATTATATCATAGACCATGCATCTCCACACGTATTAGATTGGCTTAGAAGGGAGAGATCCACACTCCAAAAAACATTCTATCACAATACTAGAAAACTTTGTATGAAAGTACTTAAACTTTACGATTGCTGAAATGTGATGTGAAGTTTTGCATTTCCTGTAATATTACATATTATAATATTATATAATATTTTCTGAGGCGGTACGTGGTTAAAAAAGTTTGAGAAGCACTGACCTGGATGATTGTGATAAACCTTTACAGTCTATAGCTCCATCAGTCATTTTATGTGCGTTCTGAAGTACAGCGTTAGAAAAGGTTCAACAAAATTAAACGCAAACTTTCTCAACTTTGCAAAAAAGTTTTTAAGCTCACTTGAGCCAGTTTTTGCCTTTTTAAAAAAAAGAGTTCATTCACTTACTGGTACATGGAAACACTTTTTAAATAAGTTGTGACGCAGTGAACATTTAACTCACGTGACTAATGAGCCGTTGCTGCTCCGACAGACTCCTTGTCACTCCCGTTGCTCTATAACATAGCCATGATCGCTGCACACAGATCTGATGGAGAAATCTGACATTTCTCTTTCATGCGTTGTCTTTCACCCTCCTTTTTGATAACTGGCGCCACCTACTACTTATCTTGTGAACCAACTACTAATAATCGCATAACAGTAGTGGATGGAAACAAGCTTTCGTTCACATTTTATTTTGTCTTGAAATTCTTTTAAAATTTGCGACACATTTGGGTGGAAACACGGCTTATAAATACAATCTGGATAAAACTGCAATAAATCACAGCTAACTTTCCAACAACATTGATGGATAATCAACATCACGTATCTGCAGCATTTTTATAAACATGGCATGTGTCAGGCTTCACCAAGAAGTACTAAAACTATTTAGGAGATATTGCTTGTTAAATTACCAAAGACAATGGAGGGTTTACTGACCACAACTGGCTAATATTGACCCATGTGCAGAGTAGGTAAAGGGGATTTACATTTGATGGCTAATAATGAATATTTTGAGGCAAACTCAGGAAAAAGACCATAGAAAGTGACAGTATTCAAATAATAATAATAATAATAATAATAAACAAACAAAGACTGTTTAGTAAAAAAGGCTAAAAGAGGTGAAGTCAGTCATGTCATATATTGCTGTGCTGCTCTGAGTTTGATTACTGTTAAGTTGACATACTGTTGATGGAATTGAACACTTCTTGAAGAGGTTTCACATTAAAAGCATACTAGGAGAGGGAGCGGTTATGCCCTTTCAGCCACTAGAAGGTGTTTGAGAATTGACAGTATATTAAAGTTTCTTTTGTCAAGCAGCTACAAACTATTTTTGCTCAACACCTTAATTGTTTATAACAAACAGTTGCACCATTTCCTCTGTAGCAAGTCCCACTCCACTAATTGGTTTTGTTGGATCAGAAGGACAAGTAATGGTTCTCTCAATATATCATTACGATCCCCTTCAAAGAAGCAGGATTTTAGGCTTCAAGTGGAGAGATTTGAGATCAGGCTTAGCAGTAATAGTCTGAATGTTTGTGTTTGTGTTTTAGTTTGAATTAAAACAGAAACGTAATTAATGCCCACGACAGAAAATGTTCCAAGAAAGGAATAAAGGGAACTATTTAAAACCAAAAGATGGGAGGAACTTTCATCTCTAAGTTTCATGAAAAGCTGTCTGTTCAACTCTCCGCCAGTTCCAGTCCTCATTTAGATGTCTCACTTTGATGCTCTTCCGCTTTCAATAGCTGTGTTATGTGTTTCCTGTTTTTTCCCCCCAAAAAGTGCTGTACTATTTCTTGAGTTATTTCTTGAGGCATGCTTAAAGGAGTTAATGACTTCTGCTACTCAGACAATCTGCATATGAAGAGTTTTGTTTCAAAATGAGATATGTACTGTTTGAAAAAAAATGGGACGCCTACGCAGGCAGAATGATTGACATTTAAAACTTGAACGTAAACTGGTTGTACTTTTTAAAGGATTGTTAGTGTCCTTGGTAACATTTTTACTGGCTAGATCCTCTATATCTCAACAGTACTGGGTGGTTATGGGCTTCAGGACATTTTCTAAATGGATATATGGCATTTTGGAATGAAAGTGTTCATATGGTAATGTATTTTGCCATTGTTGTTGGGGACTTTTACATTTTTTAAACTGTAAAACAAGAAAATGAAGACCCAACAGCTGCAAAATGTGACTGTGTTGCTCCTGGAGACAACTCTAAAAATGTATAAAGTACCTTTCTTTCTTAAAACCATTAAGGATTCTGCTGGTTCTAAGAGATTATTCACCGATTGAATAAAACCTTATCTGTGACCAGTGGATCATGCTCCCTTATTTCCATCCTCGCTCTTCCCTTTTGTCTCTCCCTTCTTGTTCTAGAGGGGGAAAAAAATTAGAGGCGGAGAGGAAACTTTTCTCATCCCAGTTCTTCTCTTTTGTTCCCATCAAAGGCATCTGTGTCTCGTATCAATTATAGAGCCCAGAGCAGCGAGTTAATTTCCAGTAGCTAAACCCTCGCCACTCTGTCTCTGTCTCCCATTTTGTTCTGCAGGTCTTCCACACCTCTGCACATTCTAATGAGAACCCTCGTTCAAATAATTACATTAGTAATCCCAGGGGGAGACCGGGTAATTTATTCGCAGACGGCTTTTTACTTTGCCATTAATACAACTAGCTTTCATATACTCTTCCTCCAGCTCCCTCCCTCTTTTCTCACTCTGCCTCTCCAACCACAATACTGAGCTTTTTCTCAGTTCTCATCGTCCCCTTTTTCCATTTCCATCTGCTCTTCCGTCTCTCTCAGCTTCCTCAGATAATGATTCCCAGCTCTCCTACACTCTCTCCTTTCTGAGTGCTACTGTGTATCTTGCTGCGGTAGCGTTTTCCTTTGAATGAATGACAGACGTCCCTTCTATCTCCTTGTCATTCATCTCACTTCACTCTACCCATCTGAACAAAAGATGCACCCAGTGCTTCCCGTTGGCTGCGTCATTAAAAAGGCACATTTTAGCTGATTGGCTTTGGAACACAATCAGTGTCAAACAGTCAAGATTGAGAACACAGTGAAAGCCTCACAAATCGTTGATCAATCCCTCTTTGTTAGTCCTAATTTTTTCATGTTTTTCAGTCATCAATTCCCTTGATGGATCTATTTGTCGTATCAGTGGCATATCAGATTTGAAATTCTAAAGTTTTGCTGCCAGGGCCACATTAACCCACCAAAGAGCCCAGGGGCAAAGATGAGGGCTGGGCCCTGAGTATTCCACCCCCTTCCCATTTTAGTTTGTGATCATTCTGCACACCAGACTTATTAATGAATTTGCCAACCCAGTATGTAATACACACGCCGGTCCAAAGTGGCAGTGTCACATTTTCAACATTTGCTCATTCCACAGTCAAGTTAGGACTAACAAATATCTGTCTGGTTACACTTTCAAAATAAACCTTG